GGATTAACAGCTCATTCCCAGAAGCAAAGTGATTCAGAAGAAGAAGAATGAGATAAAGACTGATTAGGTATGTTTGAACTCATATTAGCAGTGGCAATCCTTGCACAAAGGAGACATTTCTCCTGCCAAACACTTACTTTCTTCTTAATTCTTGACAGAATATCTTCCAGGTCATGGGTAGAAACAGATTGCTCCAAAAGCCTTTTAAATTTTTGATGATTTAGCAACATCTTCACCATCTCCTGTCCATAGTGCCTAAGGAACAAAGGAAGGAGAAGAAAGAAAAGTGAACAAACATAGGAAGAGTGTTAACAGAAGAGGCTGATACCTCAAACTCATCAGGTGCAATCCTTGCATAAGAAGGCATTACCTACTCAGCAAAGAGAGACATTTACCTCCACTTGTTGCTGCACAGTGCTGTCAGCTGAACACAAGAGGCAAGAGGAGAATATGAGGCAACAGAAAATACCATTTCATTCTGAAACTGTGTGTGTGGCTCTTGGATCAATGGATCCCAGGGAACAAGCAAAACACATCTGCTTTGTTGTCAGAAACCATTAGCAGTGTCTTGCTGCCATTGCACAATAATTTGCCTTCCTTTGACTGGCAGGGAAGCCAGGACAAAACACCTCATGCTTCCTATTGATTCTTCTATACCATATGTATGGACAGGGGCAGCTAGTTGTTCCTGTGTTATTGGCAGTTATTAATGGGAATCTAATCATCAACGTAAATGAATATAATTATCAAAGTAAGGGGATGAAATTGATGTTTGGGATCCTTCAGTGATGAACATTAGCCACCACTTTGGCATTGGGTTGTGCACCTAAGGCCAAACAAAACTGTTAGTCTGGCTAATCTGAGCTCTTTTGATCACAGTCAAGAATCCTTAAAGTCACAGGAAGTTGGCAATGCTCCTTCTTGCTGGACATGCTCAGGTTACCCAGTACACTCATTTCCCCAGGGAACACAGAGCACTGGTCACAACAACAAGGCTGACAGAGCTCAAGAAGCGTTTGGACAATGCTCTTGGGTACATGGAGTGTCTCTTGGGGTGTCCTGCACTTGGCCAGGAGCTGGACTCGATGACCCTGATGATTCCCTTCCAATTCAGCGTATTCCATGATTCTATGACCCTTAGCCACACGGAGAGGTAAAGTATTATTTCCTGTAGTTCCTACACTTTTCTGGATTTCCCTTTTAATGCCAGACACCAAACAGATTTCCTGTTTTAGGAGGTGAAATGAAGATCATTACCTTGTGTCCTTGTGACAGTCCTGAGCAAGTTTCCCTGCCACCTGTGCCAGGCTCTCAGCCCTGGGTGTGTCTGCGAGCTTCGTGACTCCAATTTTCCCCATCAAGGACAGGAGGAGTTTGGCCGCACACTTCCGCACCTGGACGTAGCGGCTCCTGGGAAGAAGAGAGCAAACACTGGGACACAGGGAGAAGGAGGCACAGCAGCACAGGCCTTGGCCAGAGAATGCTCCCTGTTGTTGCTGGGCAAAGGAGGCCTGGGTTCTCCTGCAACTTTAGACACCTGTAGGAGGTTCTGTCCTCAGATAAACACAAAGTTAGCATTGAACAGAAGGACTGCCTGCAAGGAAGAGGGAGGAATTTTGGTCTCCCTGCATTATCTGATATTCAATTTCTTTCCCAAAATCTGCTCTGAGAAAGATTAAAGAAATAGATTACATAAAAATTCTTTAGAAATTAATGACAACTCATGCTGACTTATCAGAGGACACTCACTACACAGAGCTGCAGCAGGATTGAGGCTCTTTCCACCCATTTATCCCAAAATCTGCAGACCTTTGATAAAAAACAAATGCAGGGAAAAACCTGCTGTGGGGCTTGACGTTGCAGAATATCCAGCAATGCTGCCTGTTCCTTCTGGGAGGCTTGGCAAGGGATACATCTGAATGTTTTACCCTATTCCAAAGCTGAGGAAGGGGTGGCAGGCAGTTTAGCCAGGCTGTCCTGTTCTAGAGAGTGTCTCTTGGGAACTATCAGGCCCAGCACCAACACTGAAGGCAGCATTTGCTTCAGCTGTCCCATGGCAGTCAGCCTGTGAAGGTGCCAGTAGAGTGATTCATCATCTCAAAGCTAACATGAAACATCAGTTTGAATAGAAAGTAAAGCTCTAAGGCCAGGACAGTACTACAAGACTCCTTTTGGCAGGAGTTGCACCAGCTGTGCAGGCTGTGCCCCATCCAGTACATTCTCCCCCATGTACTCCTCACCCCAGCAAGTCCCCTCCTTCTTTCTCAAGCTAATGGCATAATGAGGATGTGTGGTTTTTCCCCGGGCCTCTGTGCTTGGCGCTGTGAAATATCAAAGAGCGCTCACAGCTGCAACTGCAACTGTCCCTCTTCCCACAAAAGCCCAAGGCTCTATCCTTAGCCTTTGCAGGCACTTTCCCTTCCCCACCATTCACCAGTTCTGGGAAGCTCTGACAGGCTGGCAGAACTCCAGGAAGCAGCAGGAAGCTGAGTCAGGGGAGGTTTAGGTTGGATATCAGGAAAAGGTTTTTCACCCAGAGGGTGGTTGGGTACTGAAACAGGCTCCCCAGGGCAGTGCTCACAGCACCAAGCCTGACAGAGTTGAAGAAGCATTTTAACAACAATCTCAGGCACTTGGTGTGATCCTTGGGGTGCTCTGTGCAAGGCCAGGAGCTGAACTCGACGGTCCTGATGGGCCCCTTCCAACTCCCCACATTCTACAGCTCTATGATTCTGTGAACTAATAGGCTGCAGGAGGGCAGAAATAGGTGACAAGAGGAAAGAAGTGAGGTTGGTGGGAGAACAAAGTCACTGAGTTCACAGAAGATGCAGGGTGCAGGAGCCTTCCCTCCCACCATTCCCATTCTGTCTCTCATCCCTTCCCCCACCCACACACAAGAAGGTGAAGAAGATCACTAAAAGAAGAAGAAACTACTTGTCTTCCCTGTCCATGAGAGCAGCCAGTGCTCGTGCAGGACTCACGTTCTCAACCATGATCCCCAGGGTCTGATTGGCTGCTTTCTCAACAAACTCTGGGGAATTCCAAACCATTTCTCAACCATGATCCCCAGGGTCTGATTGGCTGCTTTCTCAACAAACTCTGGGGAATTCCAAACCATTGGGAGCAGGACCTGAGCAACCTCATCCACCTCGGAGTCCATGTCCTTCTTCAAGGTTGCAAAGAGCTCTCCAAGAGTGACGATTGCAGCGTAGGACACCCTGGAGCGGAGGTTGCTCACCTGGGGAAGTGATGAGAGAAACATAAGAATCACCTTGAAA